GTGGAGTTTGGAGTGTGACTGTTTGAGTTTGTGGACAGGTGTCTTTTATACTGATAACAAGTTCAAACAGGTGCCATTAATACAGGTAACGAGTGGAGGACAGAGGAGCCTCTTAAAGAAGAAGTTACAGGTCTGTGAGAGCCAGAAATCTTGCTTGTTTGTAGGTGACCAAATACTTATTTTCCACCATAATTTGCAAATGAATTCATTAAAAATCCTACAATGTGATTTTCTGGATTTCTTTTCTCAATTTGTCTGTCATAGTTGACGTGTACCTATGATGAAAATTACAGGCCTCTCTCATCGTTTTAAGTGGGAGAACTTGCACAATTGGTGGCTGACGAAATACTTTTTTTCCCCACTGTATAGCTGTATCATGGGGTCGATATACAATAATGGATAATGATGTGGTAAGCATATACCTGTGTTGTAAAAACTGTCTGCACCCCACCAACAGTCTGAGTATTTCTAGAGAGATTTCCAGGTTTATTACTCTCTCCTTTAATGGACAGGACCAAATTACAGTTCCCTCTTCAATTCCAATCCTGTCATAGTAAATATACATTATGATTTGAGATCTCTCGTGAAAACACGCACACCTCAGACTAATTACGTCACTTGATGCTGAGGAAAATGGAATGTTGTCTGGTCGCTTGGCAACTACGGGAAACAATTGACTGGCAATATGGTAAAGACGTTTTGTGTAGATGTGAAAAATATCTGCGAGATTCCTAATTTTCAAGGTCGTCTCAGACTTGACTTTTAACGTCTCCACCTGAGACCTGATGCAAAGCACCCATGACCATCCTTCAGTTTTATCCCCTGCAGTTGAGAATAAAGGAATTACTCGGTGGGCCAAACAATAAAAATACACTCTTGTGGTCTGAAACAATATCTCAGAGAGAATGGGGGAAAGAAAGAGAGAGAGACAGACAGGAGAGGAGAGGTTCTACAACAATGCCCCCTTTGTCCCGGCTCAACACTGTACTGTACCTACCAGCCTTCTGTTTGATTCTGTGCCAACACAAACCACGGTGCTGGGGTACAGGCCTACAACCAAACAATCTACGCTTGTGTTTAATATACTACAGTCTGTCTGCATCGGTCTACCTGTCAGTCACATGCACCAGCACACACACACATGCATGGACACACACACAGCTGACCGGCTGGGCCGGGGCCGAGTCCTTATCCCATTGGGGTTAATGAGAGGTAAAATAACACACTGCTAGATAACAGTTTATGATAAGGCTGGTGCTGTGTGGTAATCAGCAGTGGCATTGAGAAAAACATGTCACATGCTTTTAAAAACACTGGGTTACAGGATTCCCCCAGTAACTGATTTTGGACAACAGACTTGAGGTTACAAAAACTGAACAGACTTGAGGTTACAAAAACTGTCACACCCGTTTTCTCTACCCGGCTCTGACTCTCTTTCATCGTCCATGTGTTGGGTTGGGTGTTACCTCGTCTGTTCGCTCTCGAGGCGTCTGAGCTCGGAGTACTGCGAGGAGCCGAGCTGACCTGTCGGTCGCCTCTCGCTCTGCCGCTCTGCGAGAGATCGCTAGCCGAGCGCGCGCGCACCCTCCCCCCCAACCACCCCCCGGCCCTCCCCGCCCTCCTCCCCCACCCTCATCCTCCCTCTCTCTCCTCTCCTCCAACCCTCCTCCCCTCTCTCCCTCCCTCCAACCCTCTCTCCCTCTCTCCCTCCAGAGGGATGTTTGCCTCTACTACAGCAGAGTAAGTCATGTGGTGTGGGTGCCAGCATTTCTCTTTCACCTAGCAGGACCTGGCTGCAGTGGACAGGCCGAGTTCATTGATGTGGGGCCAGTGGCCCGAGGTGCGTGTGAGTGTGTGTTAGCAGCAGCAGCGAGGGGGTTCTGCTTGGCTGAGAGGGTGTCACTAGTCCTCATCAACACCCTAGCATGGTGATTCCTCATGAGACTACAACAAAAGAGACCATGATTTGGGGGATTTTCACAAAATGTAATCCATAGAATGGTCCTTTGGAGGAAGGATTGTTGACATATTTGGCATTTGTATCTTAAAGCATAATTGAGAAATAATTGATTGAAGTTGGAACATTTGTGACATGTTGGCCTTACCCAGGCCTCCTTTAAAGATTCAATAATGTTTCATCTGTAGGTGCTACAAAGCACATTTTCTAACATACATTTATGAATATTGAAAAATATAAACATGAATATCGAAGAAAACAAAAAAAGATTAGCTGCTACTTTTAGAGTTATGATCCAATATGTAAGCATTACCAACAGCATGAATGTGAAAATTGATTCAAAATGATCACCCTGCTTGTGATACAGGATGTGCCATGATACATGTAAAAGTAGGGCTGTGATTGTTTACATTGTCTACTATGCCAATTTCTCTGTATAGAAATGGGCCATATCTTTAAAACTAGCAGAGATCCCCCACTGGAACTTTGATATGCCCGTACAGTATTTTATGTTCAACAATATATAGAACATTTTTCTAAATCTCTAATGGTATAAGTCTAAATCTCTAATGGTATATGTTAAATATTCATGTTTATATTCTTAAATATTCATTAATCAATGTAAGAAAATTGTTATTGAAATAAAAAGACTGTGCATATTACAGAGCAAGTGGTAAAGCATCATATGACACCAATGTTTGCTTTGTTGCACCTACAGATGAATCATTATGGAATATTAACCTCTACGGGATCGGTGTCCCGTATATGGGACGGTTGAGCTAACGTGCGCTAATGTGATTAGCATGACTGTTGTAAGTAACAGCAAACTTTCCAGGACATAGACATGTCTTATATGGGCAGAAAGCTTACATTCTTGTTAATCTAACTGCACTGTCCAATTTACAGTAGCTATTACAGTGAAAAAAATACCATGCTATTGTTTGAGGAGAGTGCACAACAACAAAACGTATCACAGTAACTGGTTTGATACATTTACCTCTGAAGGTAAATCATGACCTTACATTCAGTAATCTTGCTCTGATTTGTCATCCTAAGGGTCCCAGAGATAAAATGTAGCATAGTTTTGTTTGAAAAAAAATGTATATTCAAATGTAGGAACTGGGTTCTACAGTTTGAACCCCCGCTGTCTCTGGCTCCACACCGACCCCGCCCAGGTGAAAGTTAGTGTATAAGCTAATGATCCATCATGTATGACATTCCTGGGAGTGTATAAACTTACATTTTTTATTACCATATAATTTTGGTATGTTCTCTATAGTTATGTACTTGAAAATTTATCAATTCGGCACATTTGGGCAGACTTGATACAAAATAGTCCAGTATTGCAATCCTTCACTGGAACAATCTGAAACTTTGCACACACACTGCTTCCATCTAGTGGCCAAAATCAAAATTGTGCCTAAACTGCAATATTATATTGTGGCTTTTCTCTTGCATTTCAAAGATGATGATAAAAATTTAAAAAATGCATGTTTTTTTGTTTGTATTATCTTTTACCAGCTCTAATATGTTATATTCTCCTACATTAATTTCACATTTCCACAAACTTCAAAGTGTTTCCTTTCAAATGGTATCAAGAATATGCATATCCTTGCTTCAGGTCCTGAGCTACAGGCAGTAAGATTTGGGTATGTCATTTTAGGCGAAAATTGAAAAAAAGGGTCCGATCCTTAAGAGGTTAAATGCACTATGCAGAAATCACTACGCCATTTCCTGGTTGCAAAACAGTTTGCTTAATTTCAGTTTGTGACAAAACAAGCAAATACACTGTAGATAATCATTGTACCATCTAAACCGCTGTGAAATATATTTTCCATAACCAAAAATATTGTATTTTCAGCTGGTGTACAAAACCGTAATAGACGCAAAAACTAAACTTAAGAACGGGAAGCATAGAAATAGCACACATAGAACCGATTCACTGCTTCTTAGACTTGCATTCAATGAGAATGGCAGATCTAGAACACACACACAAAAAAAAGGCTATATTTTCGTGAGAAATCACCCAGCATAAGTAGCTTCCTCTCTGATTCATTCATTCAAGGTCACCAAAAGTTATTAATTGCCATTAAAATGTTGATGGTGTTCTTTTACAACAGATGGTAACTGACCATGTAACTGTAACCTAACTGTGACTGACCATGTAACTGTAACTGACCTTGTAACTGTAACTGACCATGTAACTGTAACCTAACTGTGACTGACCATGTAACTGTAACCTAACTGTGACTGACCATGTAACTGTAACTGACCTTGTAACTGTAACTGACCATGTAACTGTAACCTAACTGTGACTGACCATGTAACTGTAACCTAACTGTGACTGACCATGTAACTGTAACTAGGGAATGGCCGGCAGGGGATGTAGCTCAGTTGGTAGAGCATGGCGTTTGCAACGCCAGGGTTGTGGGTTCGATAAAATAATGTATGTGCTAACTGTAAGTCGCTCTGGATAAGAGCGTCTGCTAAATGACTAAAATGTAAAATGTAAATGTTGTATTTTACCACAGTCAGTGTTCAATCAGAGATGGTGTTTGTCATTGTAATTATCTTCGTCACTTGTTAAGACTAGACCTAGCTAAAGTAGTGAGCGAGGAGTAAGGAGTCATTGTTGAGTTATCAGTGTTGGTATGTAGCCTACAATATATAGCCTGTCCATAGGATTAATGATGGCCATTACTTCAAAGCCGCTGAATCACACTGCTCTATCTGTATGAAGAGGTCATTTGGTATGTTCAATCATACTGCATCATCATGGTTATCACAAGATTCCTTTGAAAACCTATTTTTGTTAGAATAGATTGAACAAAAAGATCTGCCTCTTTTATCACTGACTTCCTTGTGAACTGAGCCAACCTGTCAACTAGCTGGACATTGAGTTTAGGCTTTTAAAGCAGTAGTATCTCCAGTGCATAGACAGACTGAGTTCCCTTGTCTCCGCAGTGCAACATCGCCTCCCCCTGGCCAGTCTAAAGAATTACAACTACTGTACCACTGATTTGACATCACTTTCTCTTGTACACTACTGCCACCTGTTGGACACCAAGTCAGGTTTCTAATCAGAGATGTTGTGGTAAAGACAAAAGCGGCAGAAACTCTGAACACGGACGAACAAGTAACGTACACGTTAACAACGCTATTAGATTCAACAACATTCCCCAAATAAAAAGGTGCGTAAATGGCATTTAGGCAATGCCGTGTGGAATGGATGATTTTGTGTATGGAGGGATGTAGCTCAGTTGGTAGAGCATGGCGTTTGCAATGCCAGGGTTGTGGGTTTGATTCCCACGGGGGGCCAGTATGAAAAAAAAATTATACTAAAATAAAAATACTAAAATATAAAAAATTATGTATGCACTCACTAACTGTAAGTCGCTCTGGATAAGAGTGTCTGCTAAATGACTAAAATGTAAAATGTAAAAATGTGTAATCTACCTGCGGTTGGCCCTCTTTCCTCTGTCCTCCTCGCTGGGGTCTGTACTCTTCTTCTCGTCCTCCATCTTCTTCAGCTTCTTAGAGATCCTCTCCCTCATTTCCTGCCTCTCATCAGAGTCATACTCCTCTTCATCACCATTCGCATTCCCCTCCGCAGCCTCATCATCCTCACCCTGAATATGAGAGAGAGGAGAGAAGGCATGATGAACACTCAAGAGAAAAGGTGTTTTCCAACGAGTGGAATGGAATGCATTATAAATGTGATGCATGGTGTCTTGATTGAACAGACCACATGAAGGAATAAGAACATACCTCTGCTGCTTCTCCAGCTGCACCTTGGCTCTTTTCCTTCAAACACAAGACAAATAATATATTAATTCATTAATGTAATAATTTTCCAAACAAGATAAATTGAGGCAGCAGAGCAGAGTGTCTGTACGGTATCTTAGTGTTTACTTGTTGACTGCGGGGACAGAGGTCAGCAGCAGATCATCCTTCAACAGGTCATCAAATCAAATCAAATTTTATTTGCCACATGCGCCGAATACAACAGGTGTAGACATTACAGTGAAATGCTTACTTACAAGCCCTTAACCAACAATGTATTTTTTAAAGATTTTTTTTGTTTTAAGTGTTAAGTAAAAAAAAAAAAAAAGCAAATAACTAAGGAGCAGCAGTAAAATAAAATAACAGTAGGGAAGCTACAGTGGGGGAAAAAAAGTATTTAGTCAGCCACCAATTGTGCAAGTTCTCCCACTTAAAAAGATGAGAGAGGCCTGTAATTTTCATCATAGGTACACGTCAACTATGACAGACAAATTGAGAAAAAAAAATCCAGAAAATCACATTGCAGGATTTTTAATGAATTTATTTAAAAATTATGGTGGAAAATAAGTATTTGGTCACCTACAAACAAGCAAGAATTCTGGCTCTCACAGACCTGTAACTTCTTCTTTAAGAGGCTCCTCTGTCCTCCACTCGTTACCTGTATTAATGGCACCTGTTTGAACTTGTTATCAGTATAAAAGACACCTGTCCACAACCTCAAACAGTCACACTCCAAACTCCACTATGGCCAAGACCAAAGAGCTGTCAAAGGACACCAGAAACAAAATTGTAGACCTGCACCAGGCTGGGAAGACTGAATCTGCAATAGGTAAGCAGCTTGGTTTGAAGAAATCAACTGTGGGAGCAATTATTAGGAAATGGAAGACATACAAGACCAATGATAATCTCCCTCGATCTGGGGCTCCACGCAAGATCTCACCCCATGGGCTCAAAATTATCACTAGAACGGTGAGCAAAAATCCCAGAACCACACGGGGGGACCTAGTGAATGACCTGCAGAGAGTTGGGACCAAAGTAACAAAGCCTACCATCAGTAACACACTACGCCGCCAGGGACTCAAATCCTGCAGTTCTAGACGTGTCCCCCTGCTTAAGCCAGTACATGTCCAGGCCCGTCTGAAGTTTGCTAGAGTGCATTTGGATGATCCAGAAGAGGATTGGGAGAATGTCGTATGGTCAGATGAAACCAAAATATAACTTTTTGGTAAAAACTCAACTCGTCGTGTTTGGAGGACAAAGAATGCTGAGTTGCATCCAAAGAACACCATACCTAATGTGAAGCATGGGGGTGGAAACATCATGCTTTGGGGCTGTTTTTCTGCAAAGGGACCAGGACGACTGATCCGTGTAAAGGAAAGAATGAATGGGGCCATGTATCGTAAGATTTTGAGTGAAACCTCCTTCCATCAGCAAGGGCATTGAAGATGAAACGTGGCTGGGTGTTTCAGCATGACAATGATCCCAAACACACCGCCCGGGCAACGAAGGAGTGGCTTCGTAAGAAGCATTTCAAGGTCCTGGAGTGGCCTAGCCAGTCTCCAGATCTCAACCACATAGAAAATCTTTGGAGGGAGTTGAAAGTCCGTGTTGCCCTGCGACTGCCCCAAAACATCACTGCTCTAGAGGAGATCTGCATGGAGGAATGGGCCAAAATACCAGCAACAGTGTGTGAAAACCTTGTGAAGACTTACAGAAAATGTTTGACCTGTGTCATTGCCAACAAAGGGTATATAACAAAGTATTGAGAAACTTTTGTTATTGACCAAATACTTATTTTCCACCATAATTTGCAAATAAATTCATAAATAATCCTACAATGTGATTTTCTGGATTTTTTTTCTCATTTTGTCTGTCATAGTTGACGTGTACCTATGATGAAAATTACAGGCCTCTCTCATCTTTTTAAGTGGGAGAACTTGCACAATTGGTGGCTGACTAAATACTTTTTTCCCCCCTACCTGTGCAGAGTCAATGTGCAGGGGCACCGGCTAGTCGAGGTAATATGTACATGTGGGTAGAGTTAAAGTGACTATGCATAAATAATAAACAGAGTAGCAGCAGCGTAAAAGAGGGGGGTGGGGAATGGGGGGCAGTGCAAATAGTCCGGGTAGCCATGATTAGCTGTTCAAGAGTCTTATGGCTTGGGGGTAGAAGCTGTTGAGAAGCCTTTTGGACCTAGACTTGACTTGCCATGCGGTAGTAGAGAGAACAGTCTATAACTAGGGTGGCTGTAGTCTTTGACAATTTTGAGGGCCTTCCTCTGACACCGCCTGGTATAGAGGTCCTGGATGGCAGGAAGCTTGGCCCAAGTGATGTACTGGGCCATACACACTACCCTCTGTAGTGCCTTGCGGTCGGAGGCAGAGCAGTTGCCATACCAGGCGGTGATACAACCAGTCAGGATGCTCTCGATGGTGCAGCTGTAGAACTTTTTGAGGATCTGAGGACCCCTGCCAAATCTTTTCAGTCTCCTGAGGGGGAATAGGCTTTGTCGTGCCCTCTTCACGACTGTCTTGGTGTGTTTGGACCATGATAGTTCGTTGGTGATGTGGACACCAAGGAACTTGAAGCTCTCAACCTGTTCCACTACAGCCCCGTCGATGAGAATGGGGGCCTGCTCAGTCCTCTTTTTTTTCCTGTAGTCATGACTGCTTTTGCTTTTCCCCTTCAGTGTCTGGATGAAAATAAACAATGTGTGTATGTATCTGATTGACACTGATGGCGAGTTTCATTTGAATTGCAGAATAACAATAAGACTGCTCATGTTCTAATTACCTGGCTGACTTGAGTTACCATTTCCTCTTCCTCCTCAGCTTCCTCTCTGAATGACAACAGACTGAAGTTCCTGACAAAATAAACAGGGCAGAGTCCGACTGTTCATAACTACAGTACCACGCTTCCAAGTCAGCAACAGATTGAGAGTGAGGAGCAGAGAAGTTGTGTATAATAGTAAATTAAAGACTTTGTTGCTTTGGACTAATATTTCTTTTTCTCTTCATCCTTTTTGGATTTTTTTCTTTCACGTGGAATGATGTCATCAAAGGGAGAATGTAACACCTGCAGAGAGACATAAAAAAAAAAAAAAGTTACAGAGTCTGACAGAATTGGAACACATGCAAAACAAATGAATGGTCAAAGTGATAAAATATTATTGTGTGATGTAAACTCATAACAAGACATACATACAGTTGAAGTCGGAAGTTTACATACACTTCGGTTGGAGTCATTAAAACTAGTTTTTCAACCACTCCACAAATGTCTTGTTAACAAACTATAGTTTTGGCAAGTCGGTTAGGACATCTACTTTGTGCATGACAAGTAATTTTTCCAACAATTGTTTAGAGACAGATTATTTCACTTATAACTCACTGTATCACAATTCCAGTGGGTCAGAAGTTTACATACACTAAGTTGACTGTGCCTTTAAACAGCTTGGAAAATTCTAGAAAATTATGTCATAGCTTTAGAAGCTTCTGATAGGCTAATTGACATCATTTGAGTCAATTGGAGGTGTACCTGTGGATGTATTTCAAGGCCTATCTTCACACTGAGTGCATGTTTGCTTGACATCATGGGAAAATCAAAAGAAATCAGCCAAGACCTCAGAAGGTACCACGTTAATCTGTACAAACAATAGTACGCAAGTATAAACACCATGGGATCACGCAGCCGTCATACCGCTCAGGAAGGAGACGCGTTCTGTCTCCTAGAGATGAACATACTTTGGTGCGAAAAGTGCAAATCAATCCCAGAACAACAGCAAAGGACCTTGTGAATATGCTGGAGGAAACAGGTACAAAAGTATCTATATCCACAGTAAAACGAGTCCTATATCGAGATAACCTGAAAGGCTGCTCAGCAAGGAAGAAGCCACTGCTCCAAAACCGCCATAAAAAAGCCAGACTACGGTATGCAACTGCACATGGGGACAAAGATCGTACTTTTTGGAGAAATGTCCTCTGGTCTGATGAAACAAAAATAGAACAGTTTGGCCATCATGACCATCGTTATGTTTGGAGGAAAAAGGCGGGTAGCTTGCAAGTCTAAGAACACCATCCCAACCGTGAAGCACGGGGGTGGCAGCATCATGCTGTGGGGGTGCTTTGCTGCAGGAGGGACTGGTGCACTTCACAAAATAGATGGCATCATGAGGAAGGAAAATTATGTGGATATATTGAAGCAACATCTCAAGACATCAGTCAGGAAGTTAAAGCTTGGTCGCAAATGGGTCTTCCAAATGGACAATGACCCCAAGCATACTTCCAAAGTTGTGGCAAAATGGCTTAAGGACAACAAAGTCAAGGTATTGGAGTGGCCATCACAAAGCCTTGACCTCAATCCTATAGAAAATGTGTGGGCAGAACTGAAAAAGTGAGTGCGAGCAAGGAGGCCTACAAACCTGACTCCGTTACACCAGCTCTGTCAGGAGGAATGGGCCAAAATTCCCCCAACTTATTGTGGGAAGCTTGTGGAAGGCTACCCGAAACGTTTGACCCAAGTTAAACAATTTAAAGGCAATGCTACCAAATACTAATTGAGTGTGTGTAAACTTCTGACCCGCTGGGAATGTGATGAAAGAATAAAAGCTGAAATAAATAATTCTCTACTATTATTCTGACATTTCACATTTTAAAATAAAGTTGTGATCCTAACTGACCTCAAACAGGGAATATTTACTAGGATTAAATGTCAGGAATTGTGTGAAAAACTGAGTTTAAATGTATTTGGCTGGTGTATGTAAACTTCCGACTTCAACTGTACCTCAGTGGTTCGTATCTTGTGTGGATTTAAAGGTCTTTCCTCCTGATCACATTCCACTTCTGCTAACCTGAGCATGTTGTCACCTGTCACCTGCATTGGGCAAAGGAAGATGAGCTTACAGGACAAATGCTGCATACTAAAAGCTTTACAAATATTAAGATGCATTGATCTTCTTTTGGCTTTTTACCTTTCCAAAGATGGTGTGTTTGTTGTTGAGCTCATCTGCCCAACCCAGGGTGAAGAAGAACTGGCTGCCGTTGTCATGGGGCCCTGCGTTGGCCATGGCAACCAGACCTCGTCTGTTTACATTTACATTTACATTTTAGTCATTTAGCAGACGCTCTTATCCAGAGCGACTTACAGTTAGTTGAAGCGCAGTCTGGAGTGGAACTCATCCTGAGAACGGGGGACAGAACCAACAGCAAAACAAGAATCAGCTCCACTGTCTCATTGTTAGTGGAAGTCTGAAACGTACTAATGGGTGAGCTGACAAAGGTTCCATGTAGAAAAGTTGAGTTTATGTCTAGCCAATCAATTTTTGGGGTGAACATGATGCGTGATAATAAGGTGATGGAGACAGTGAAAGTTAACCTTGAATGGACGTCCATAGATGGACTCTCCCCCCGTCCCGGATCCTGTGGGATCTCCTCCTTGGACAATGAACTCCGGCACCACTCTATGGAATGGTGTTCCCTCATAGTAGCCTGTGGAAGAGAGCAGTACACATTTACAATAAGCTGGTGTGCAATGTGACATGGTGAGTATCCTCATCTCTTGTGGACAGACTGAACAAAAATCTGACAAAATTCCACAAGATTTTAGTTCTGGGTTAACCAAGATTTTGAGTATACATAATAAGTACATCAGTATTATTGAGTGACCTTGCATTTTAACCTGCTAGTAGATATTATCGGGCACTCAGTCCTTATCTTCCATGCATAACTGGACAAAGTTTCTGGAGGCCTTGGGAGCCTCTTTGGACCACAGCTCAATATCGATGTCAACAGCTGAGGTCTTGATCAGAACCTGAGAAGGTAGAAGCATATCACTTAATACCAAGGCCACATTTCTGCTTGGCAGAACAACGCTAGCTAGCCAGCTAACCTTAGTGATTGCCTCAGTCAAGGCTGGTGGGAGGAGCTATTGGAGGACGGGCTCATTGTAATGGCTGGAATGGAATCAATGGAACACAATCAAACATGTGGTTTCCATATGTTTGATGTGTTCAATACCATTCCATAAATTCCATTCCAGCCATTACAATTAGCCTGTCCTCCTACAGCTCCTCCCACCAGTCTCCTCTGGATTGCCATTATAGCATCTCTTATGAGACTGAGTGAGTGGGTGGACTAATAGTGCATGCATGCAATTATTTCTGTTATTATAGGTTATCCTGCAAGACATTAGCTACAGTGACTGCGAGCTATTACTGTACTTCGTGCAGACTACGATCGTCAGGGGAACAAATTACAGGACCCCTGGCAAGCAAGGAAGCTCGCGTTTACCTTTCCATTTGTTGGAGGCTCTTGAATGTAAATGTTGCTCATTTTGTCGGTGACATTAACGGACAACTAGACACCGAAAATCCGTTATCTTTTCAGCAGTAGAATACAATATTTTTTCCGAAAATGCAGCACTGAGTAGTTCTCAAAGACTGCAAATCAGAGATTAATATCTAAATGTGTTGCCAGCACAGCTCACTGAACCGCAATGTTGTTAAAACATGAGTGCTTTGTTTACCTCGAGTCAATGGGGGGTGAAGGGCATTTTCCAAGTCGATGCTTGGAAGTAGTTTCCCTAATATTTGTTTGAAGGGAGATATGTCAAATATTAACGAACGTACTAAATATTTGTATTAAAATATATCGTAATTAAACATCTGTTAAAACATTGATGGATCATTATTTCCATATACACCCCAAAAATGTGTGGTATAGTCCGTGTGTTACATTGCAATCAATCCCCCTCCCCCCTAAAACATTATACAGAACATTAGCTAGCTAAAGGGAGGCTGACGAATTATCTCGAGAAAACTCTAATTATGAAAGTTATATGAAAAATAAGAGTCAGAAAAATTATTTCTCAAGTAGTCGGTCAAATCAGCTCCAAATGTTAGTTTTTTTGGCAAAGATGGTATAGGGTACTAACAAATTGATGTTACCTACCGGAGCTGTTTTGTAGAGGACCCACAGGGAAGCAGTTCGAAATATATCAACGCAACAAGGGTTTTTGCAATAAAGTGTGATAATGGCTGCACCAGGTATGTTTTATCTAACATAAAACTAATTGGTATTGATATTTTAATGGAAATTGGAGGTAGCTAACGTTAGCTTTAACTATCTTATAGTTGCCCTTTTGGCAGAACTTATGGACTGCTAGCTAGCTAGGTTAGCTAGCCTAGCAACTAGGATCCGATTGGCTAGTATGATTGTGTTAAATTTTTTAAATAGCTAACTAATGTTATTTTGATAATAGTCTGTGTATGGTATTTTAGTCTCCCCATTCGTCTGATAACAGCTGTGTTATGTTATCTCAATGTGAATCATAGACACTGAACAAAAATATAAACGCAACATGTAAAGTGTTGGTTCCATGTTCTATGAGCTGATATTTTCCATACGCACAAAAAGCTTATTTCTGTAAAATGTTGACACACATTTGTTTACATCCCTGCTAGTGAGCATTTATCCTTTGCCAAGATCATCCATCAACCTGACTGGTGTGGCATATCAAGAAGCTGATTAAACAGTATGATTAGTCAGGTGCACCTTTGGGGACAATAAAAGGCCACTCGAAAATGTGCAGTTTTGTCACACAACACAATGCCACAGATGTCTGAAGTTTTGAGGGAGTGCGCAGTTGGCATGCTGACTGCAGGAATGTCCACCAAAGCTGTTGCCAGAGAATTGAATGTTCATTTCTCTACCATAAGCTGCCGTTTTAGAGACATTGGCAGTCTGTCCAACCGGCCTCACAACCGCAGACCCCGTGAATGGCATCGTGTGGGCGAGCGGTTTGCTAATGTCAACATTGTGAACAGCGTGCCCCATGGTGAGGTTATGGTATGGGCAGGCATAAGCCACGGACAACAAACACAATTTGCATTTTATCGATGCCAATTTGAATGCACAGAGATACTGTGACGAGATCCTGAGGCCCATTGTAGTGCCATCACTTCATGTTTAATCAGGATAATGCACGGCCCCATGCCGCAAGGATCTGTACACAATTCCTGGAAGCTGAAAATGTCCCAGTTCTACCATGGCCTGCATACTCACCAGACATGTCACCCATTGAGCATGTTTGGGATGCTCTGGATTGACGTGTACGACAGCGTGTTTCAGTTCCCGCCAATATCCAGCAACGTCTCACAGCCATTGAAGAGGAGTGGGGCAACATTCCACAAGCCACAATCAATGATATGCTTAGGAGATGTGTTGCGCTGCATGAGGCAAATGGTGGTCACACCAGATACTGACTGGTTTTCTGATCCACTCCCCTACCTTTTTTTAAAGGTATCTGTAACCAACAGATGCATTTCTGTATTCCCAGTCATGTGAAATCCATAGATTAGTGCCTAATGAATTTATTTCAGTTGACTGATTTCCTTATATGAACTGTAACTCAGTAAAATAATTGAAATTGTTGCATGATGCGTTTATATTTTTGTTCAGTATAAGAAGGAATCAGATTATTTTTAGGCGTGGAACATACAGGCCTACGTTTTTGCGACACTTCAACAGAAGCAATAAGTTGTCCCATTTCACTATGATTACATTTTTCACTTAATTTGCAGGTCCCAATAAGGACAACATCAGAGCTGGGTGCAAGAAATGTGGTTACCGTAAGTCATCTTTATTGCTTATATTATGTTTCTAGTCTAACTCTACATATTCAAGCCTTGTGAATACAGTTCCAGAATGTTCCTTGTTGTCCCCTGACCCCTGAGTGTGCCATAATCATTTTGTGCTAGATACACTTAAATTCAAAAGTACTTCCCTTCCTCACTCACTTTTGTACCCTTGTCATTTTATTAGCGGGCCACCTGACGTTCGAGTGCCGTAACTTTGTGCGTGTGGACCCCCGGAAAGACATTGTCCTAGATGTAAGCAGTACCAGCAGCGAAGAGAGTACAGAGGACGAACAGGAGGATCTGCCTAATGACAAGCTGGGTCGGGGAGGAAAATACTCAAAAGGTCAAAACTTGTATTACATTTTTTGAATCTCTGATTAGCATGTTGTTAGAATTAACTGAATTCCAACTGGTTATTGGGACAGACATGAGCGCCATTCTGGACATGCGGGACAAATCTAATGAGACCAACTACAATTCACAGGCAACCAAGGCTCTTCATCATATACTCTCTGATTACCACCACATTGAGCTCATAACCCTAAAGCAAAAGAGTACACTTTCTATTCAAACAGACACAAAAGATTATCCTGAATCAATTTAGTACTATTACCTACACCTTTATTTTCTTTATTCAAGAAAATACAAATGTGACACATGAGCATATCTGATCATCATGCTTACTACTGCCAGATACACATTCCAGAATCTACTAAAAGAGCCACAAGATGGCGCTTTAATGTTTCCTTACTACAAAATCCTAATTTCTGTGAACAATTTCAAACTGAATTGAATGAATTCATAATTATTGTAAAAAATTCAGTCGATCCTCACATTTTATGGTACGTCATCAAAGGCGTTATTAAAAACAATACAACTGCATTTGCATTTGAATTTGCCATCCATCGTGTTAGACTCAATCATTCCATCTATGGTAATCGACGCAGTCGTCTACTGGCTAACAAGCTTCGCAGTAATGATCAATTAGTGGATATTGAAACTATTGAAACTACTATCAGAAGCCAAATTAATCAACCAAAGAATCTCCCATTTCTATAAAGAATTGTACACCACTGATTGTAAATCCACACCAAGCCAGATTGATTCCTTTTTAAAGGATATAAGAACTCCTCTTCTCTCAGTTGAGGAAGCCGGCTTGCTGGGAGCCCAAATCTCTCTCCATGAACTTAAAAGGGCATTGGATAACATGAATATAGGCAAATCACCTGGTTGGTATGGTATTCCTCCTGAGCTCTATTCAACATTTTGGAAGGGATATAAATGCAGCACAAATTTCACTTTTATAAAAATAAAATAAAAGGTAAGGACGCCACCCAGTGTTCTCATTATCGGCCCCTATCTTTGCTAAGCACAGATATTAAACTATTTCCAAAAATTCTGCCGTCCCTTCTCGCAACTTACCCAAATTGGTACATCCGGACTATATCGGGTTTGTTAAAAACATTATTATCCTAAGGTAACATCCGTCGTTTATTACATATCTTACATGCTTCATCATAAACCAAAGCTCCTTGGGCAGTTCTATCTCTCGATGCAGAAAAAGATTTTGATAGACTTGAATGGTCATATCTTTGTGACTTGGCTCCAATTTCATTAATATGATTAAAATACTAAATGCCAATCCCTCAGCCATAGTAATAGCAAGCAATACATGCTTTATTATATTCAGTATAACTAGAAGCTGCAGGCAATGTGATCCCATCTCACCTCTGCTGTTTTTGTCTATGGAGCACCTGGCCCAGGCAATTTGACATTCGAAAGAAATTACACCAATATCTCTCAATTCTACAGATCACGTCATCTCATTATAAGCCGACAATATCTTACTTTATCTAGACAGTGTATCTCAATCCCTCCCCAACACTTTGAAGATCATAGACAAATTCAGCTCCATCTCAAGTAAAATAAAATCGAACAAAATCTGCCCTACGGCCTCTCAAGACCCCGATGGAGGACTCCATATCTACTTATGGAATCCCAATCGTTTCCCATTTTAAATATTTGGAAGTAGATA